CGGGCCCGCGCCGAGCGCCTGCACTCCGCGGCTCGGCGCGAACCCGGCTGAAGGGGGCTGCGAGCACCTCCGCGTCTGCATGCGCGCTGCTCCCGTCCCCTGCGGCCACTGATTAGTTACTGCCAATATGTTCTTTGCAGGTTGGCCGTGTCCCCTGATAGGTTTTACAACATCCCTTCTCTTCATATTAGGAATAATCCCTGGAAGTACTCGCAAGCTTGCAGTTGCCCGTGTGTGTGTGTGTAGAAAGGGACCCTCTGCCTTGTTTGGGGGCGGTGATTTTTCGGAGTGGGAACTGCGTAAGCGTTTGCTGGATCTGCCCCTTATTTTGTCTGTTTTCTACCAGAGAACATTTGCTCGTTAGTTACCTGAGTGACACTCACTAGTAGCTCTTTCTAAAAAAAGCCCATGTGCCAGATTTTTCCTTTGTTACGTGTCCCTCATGATGTATCACTCTGAAAAGAATCCAGTTCATTGCTTAGGAATAATGTAGACTCTCTCTCTCTCTTTTTCCCAAACTGTATTTTATTGAAGACATAACAAACAATTTCCAAGATATTATTTATTGCAGGAGTATGGCAGGACAATTTTACTCGTGGCTGAGTGCTTGTCTTAAAGTGCCATTTTAATCATTGCAGTAAACACACTTTCTGCCTTGTTTCAATTCAAAAGCCCAGTTTAATAAAGGTACTTGGACACAGTCATTAAAGCAAGCTGGAAGTAATCAAAAGTAATGTGTTTTCTCTCCACAAGTAGGAATAACTTTCTGAGGCTAGGTTTTAACTCTGCCTACAGTTAGCCATCACCATTGCGGGCACATCCAGATGAGCGCAGCTGGGTGGTATGTATGTGGTGCCACAAACACGTCTGCAGCGCCACATACTCCACACTGTGGTGTTCTCCACACTGCAACCGTGCGCTGCCCATGCATGTGCTGCTCCAGGTTTTTAACCATGGGTTTCTTTGACCCCTGGATATGTTGCAGGGGAGGAAAATGGAGCAGCGCATGCACAGGCAGCACGCACTGCTGAAAAGTGACCGGGCTGCAGCTGCTGGTCAGGTCCCTACCAACAGGATCACCACGGCTGCAGTCTTGGGCCCCAGGTAAGGCTGCTGGGGTCAGCACAGAGCTGGCCCCAGCCTCCCCTGCCGTCCCCAGAGTAACTTGCTGTGCACCAAAGCACATGTGACACGGGCATTCCCTGGGGACAAGTAGCTGTGGTGCGCAAGGTGCACTGCTGCTACCTGTCCTGGGGAACCAAATGTCTGTGCCCATCTGGATGCAGCAATGAGGGCATCTACATGACATGCTTACTGCGGAGTTGCCTAATTAGCTCCTCAATAAAGCATCACCATTTACAGGTGCGGAGTTATTAGGCCAGAGTAAACTAATTAACTCCGCCATAGGTTAGTACTGCCTGACATAAGTACTATCCCATGGTGGGCTTATTTATTCTGCCGCAACGCACATGTAGAAAGTAACCGGGGCTGGCTGGGGCATGAGGGTGCTACAGTGTGGGGGCTGCCTGCTGGCTAGCTCTGCGGTATAGTACCCTTGTGCCCCAGCCAGCCCCTCCACAGCACACTGATCCAGGGGGAGCAGCTCTGGGCTGGCAGGCTGACCCCCTGAGTGACCTGGCAGCTGGGGCTGTGCCACCCTAGCTGAATGTCCTGTGCTTCCAGGTGCACATGTAAATGCTGTGCCTAGGAGCTTTTAACTCTAGCATGAACTGTGCCTGCTTATTGCGTCACCTTGATTGCACATGTAGGTGCACCCTGTGTCCAAACTGTTCTTACTACTTCAATTTAAATGATCTGGTATACACAGTACCTGCAAATACATCTTAATATATGAAACCATTTTAAAGATTGTATTTTCCCTGTGATGTCAAAGCCAAATGGAGAAATTGAGGCAGATTGCCTAAGTTACGTGGTACAAAGTCTATTCATTCTAGGTGCTCCATTCACTGTATATCCACAGTATAATGAGCTTCTAATTTTTTTAATAAAATGTTAAAAAGTTCCCTGTTGATTATTGTTGGTCTTCTATTGATGCAACTAAGATGGATGTGGCTAAAGTGTTCTAAGGATTCTGAACAGGTCATTTGTTTGATTTCTCCAGTCTGTTTATCATGTTCGGTAACACACGTGTGCAAACATACACTCTTCATTCTACACTGAAAAGCAGAAAATACATCTGTTATAAGTAACTCCTTAATTCTAAATTGCACCATAATAAATAAACCAGAATTACAAAATAAGTGTTATTCAAGAAAGTGGAGATAGATTATACCAGAAAAAAATTTGACTGTGATTTTCTGTGATTTTTGAGTGATTTTCTGCTTTTTAAAAATGTTATTTTACTTTTAGTATTTTCAAGTAAAATAAAAGCTCCCACTAAAGGTAACATATTTCCATATTTGAAATGTGCCTATGTTCCACATAAAAATGTTCCTATGCATTTAATATTTTTCTAGCATATATAAAAAGTTAAGGCTACTGCTTTAAAAAAAATACAATATAATTAATGTTTTTAATTAATTCAATGTAGATAATCATGCTTAATGCCCTATTTAGTTCACATTTGGCATGAAATTAAGCTATAAAGCTTAAGGTATATGTGCTAGAAATTTTGACTGATTCTTTATGCATTCATATCTGCATTACCATCTTTACGTAGGCTACATATTAAGATGCTAGTAAGTATAATTTACCTAAGTTCCCTTAGAGAACCATATTTTTACAGTTTATGCTCCAGAATCCTTATATAGCATAGTTTTTGTGAAACTAGGTAATTATCTTAAATTTACACTTTTTGAATTCTTAAGCCAGTTTTTAGCTGCCATGGGGATGGGCATTATAAAAAAAAGACAGCTAGAAAAGAGATACTTTATATCAATTATATTTTTGATAGAAACTATGTGAACAAGTTACAAAAGACTAATCTTATGAGTCAGACTACTGCAGTCAGAGGCTTTGTTGAGGGAGCATCAGAATGGCATCTTTCCCAGTCTCAAAATGGTATCAAGCAGTGGTACATACACACGGAAACTGTGACCAGAGTACCATCATGCCATAAAAAGGCCCAACCAGCTATAAAGTTATTGCTGACTGGAAAATGTGTAATAACTTTATAGGTAGTTGCTACCCAGCTTTAATTTGCACATGTAGCAGAATCTGCCCCTGTGACTGGGAGCCCTGTCAGCTGACCAGGCTCCCAGCCACAGGGTGCATCATGTGCAGCTGGGACTGGGAGTCCCATAGCTGAGGGGACTCTCCACCCCGACCGGGCTTGGCAGCTGCAGACTCTGGGACTAGCAGTGCCCCACAGCTGTGGGACTCTCAGTCCCAGCAGCCATCTTCCAGCCCTGGGATTGGATGGG